TATAATTTAATATTTAATATTTTTAGAATTATTGTACATATACTGTACAATCTTTGAATATATATTAATTGTATGTATTAATTGTAAAATTAGTTTACAACAACAAAGGAAACAGAATTAAAATGAACTGAAATTCAAAGAAAACCATGCAACCCTAATAAGTGCAGTTTTTAACAAGAAAAGGAAAGTTTGTCAAGAAAGTTAGTCTTGAAGTTTGAAGGTTTTTAGGCCTTAACAGGCAGATCGATAGATTTTGGACCAGGGTGGGAGAACACTTTATTTCCCAGAATGCTGCGCATTACTTGTTTGCTTTTGTAAATTACATTTCCAGTTCAGCTTCCTGTGTGTTGTGGCCAGTTGAATTTGAATTCCCATAAAATGAAAGGGATTCGTTTTTTTTTTTTTTTGGCTTTTTTTTCTGTGATAATCAACATTATGGCATAAATGCACTTGATTAATCCTAACATAGAGTATTGAACTCATAACGCTCCTTTAATTGAACAGCAGCCTTAGTGAACACACACAACACTGAAGAAATGAGCGTGTGTGTCACTGACAAAACTCTTTCAAAGCAGTTACTCATCCAGAGTTTCGGACAGGCATCTTATAAACCCCATGCTGAAAGTCTGGTTTTCAGATCCTGTGACTCGTCCTTTCCTCTGTGATGCTGCTCTCAATCGTTCTTTCCTCCCTCCTTTCTGTCTGTTCTCTTTCTCTGGCTCCTCTCCTCCCTGCAGTCTCCTGTTAGCACTCAGGCGATTCGTCCCGCTCCTGCGGCTCAAACTAAACCGGTCCAGTCGAGTTCACCGAGTGCCGCGGCCCAGACCAGCACTGCAGCCGGCCCCGCTGTGAGCATCTGCCCTGTCCCGTCTCTGTCTCTCCTTCTCTCTGTTTCCCACTCATCAGCATCAGTTGTTTTTATGTTCATGTAAGCATTAAGATGCCAGCTGTATCTGACCATAGAGTTTCAGAGGAGAAAAACTGAGTGAATTTAATATTCAGCTGCACAAGGCTGTGCATTACAGCCATTTAAAAAATCTGATTTAATAAAAAAATTCAGACAACAAGATACAAGAGGCCATACTTTAAATTAAAAATATTGTCACAATTTTAGAAGATACACATTTTCGCTAAAACTTTATTTTATTAATAAAATTGTCATGTTTTTGTTAATACAGTGGTTCTCAACTAGGGGAGCAATTATCCTCAGCAAACTTCCAAGATGACTAAAATGATTTAAAATATGACAAAACAAGCTTTAAAATAAGCTAAAACAACTGAAAATCAAGATGTTTTTTTTTTTTGGTTCCCTCAACAATCATCATTTTATTTAAGAGCCAGGATTCACACATTCACGATTTTCGTTTTGGAAAATCTGAAAATATGAGGTAATTTCTAAAGTGTGATTCAGGGTTATTATCATTAACTAAAACTAAACTGTAGAAAACATTTTCATTACTTGAAATAAAAAAAACATTAAGTGAAATAAAATATAAAAAAATAAACATTTGAAGTACTAAAATTATAATACAAATAACAATAAAAATGACAAAAACAACAAAATTACTAAAACTTTTAACTAAAACTGAAATTAAAACAGAAAATATAAAAATAAAATACAAAATTAAAAAAATCAAATACTAACAAAAATTATAATAGTATATCAATGATAATAAAAAGAAAAAAATCAAATACTAACAAAAATTATAATAGTATATCAATGATAATAAAAAGAAAAAAATCAAATACTAACAAAAATTATAATAGTATATCAATGATAATAAAAAGAAAAAAATCAAATACTAACAAAAATTATAATAGTATATCAATGATAATAAAATTACACTGGTGTGATTTCTAGACCTGAAAAAGTCCAAGAAATGAATAAAATGGTAAGAAGTCGTGTAAATATTTAGAATGAATATAAATGTTTCTAGTTATGTCAGGCTCTACAATATTTTATCAGGTAGAAATTGCTATTTCAGTAAAAAAAAAACAACAACAAAAAAACCCATGACAAAACAAACAATCACAAACTACTAGGAAAAAAAAGTAAATTAATTGGTAATAAAAAGAGCAAATTCTGAAGAACATTCAGCTTTTGAAACATTTGGAATTATGTAATTTTAATTACTTTATTTATAATTATTTTATTTAATTATTTAAATATATTGCCACTGCTACTTTCTGTAAATGAAAAAGTTTGAAAATGAGCAGCGCTGTCATTACAGCATGAACTGAATGAACTGATCAACATCCAAAACCAGAATGATCTGCTTTTAATCTGACTGAAATCAATCTTATGTGCTTTTTAATCTACTCCTGTGCTTATCTATAAAGTTGTGTTTTATTAGATTTCTTACATAAAGACAAAGAACAGACAGGAAAAACTCAACATTGCTGTAAGAGATGGAGAGCGAGCGCCTCAGGAGCAAACCAAGCGAACTGTGAGTCGTCAGGTGCAGCGATCACGTGCTCTGAGTTCTTCTCCTCCATCTCTCTCTCTCTCTTGGCTCCTGTCGTCCCCCGCTCTCTCGGGACACGTGATGTGACAGGGCGCGCTGTGGCCGTCTCATCTGTTCTCTGTGGCCTTGCTGGCAGGCAGACGTCAGCTTGTGTTTATCTCCGTGTCTCTGCTCCTTCCTCCTCTAGAAGGCCCCCGTGGCAGCCGCCGTGGCAGTGACAGCTCCCCAGCAGGTCCAGCCGGCCTTGGGCCCCCAGGGGCCCCTCACTCAGATGCCACTAGCCCCGCAGAGCGCAGCCACCCCGGCCCCCGGATCTCCGCTTGTCTCCCAGGTCTGTGTGCCCTCCTGTATCGAAGCCCGCAAGTTTCTCTCTCTCTTTATCTATTCTTTTTCTCAGCTCAAGTGAGTGAGTGACTGTTGGACCCCTCAAGCTTCCCTGGTTAACTGTCAGGACTTGGTTAGGCTCCATCCAAACCACCCACACACACACACACACACACACACACACACACACACACCTGCCAGCATGTTCAAGAATATACAAACTAACACACATGTGGCAGTACCAGCCTATAGACATCTGGGCATTACATCTGCACGCAAACACAGACATGCATGTTCGCATACACTACCATTCAAAAGTTTGGGGTCAGTGTGATTTTTTTTTCTTATTCTGTGATCAAACATACAGTAAAAATGTGAAATATTATTACAATTTAAAATAACAGTTTTCTATGTGAATATCTGTTAAAATGTAATTTATTCCTGTGATTAAAAGCTGAATTTCCAGCATCATTACTCCAGTCTTCAGAAATCATTCTAATATGCTGATTTGCTGCTAAAGAAACATTTCTGATTATTATCAATGTTGAAAACAGTTGTGCTGCCGAATATTTCTGTAGAAATCATGGTACATTTTTTCTTTCAGGATTGAAATAGAAATCTTTTATGACATTATAAATGTCTTTGCTGTCACTTTTAATATTTTTAATGCATCATTGCTGAATAAAAGCATTAATTTTTTTAAATGAACTGACCCAAAACTTTTGTATATCCCGGTGAATCTCACAAAGCTGTCAAGAACACGTACAGGTCATATTTAACCCCCCCTAAAAAAAAAAAAAAAAAAAAAAAAAAAAAAAAAAGTGTCTCTCACGGCTCCAGAAAAAAAAAGAATTGTTGTGTTACAGTCATTTATATTAAATTATCATACCTTAAGTCAATTAAGAATAATGGAAATTACAAAAAATAAATCCCGGATTCTCTATGGTAATGAAAATTGGTGGCTAAATGTGTTTACTTGTCATGAAAATAATGTCACAATTCATAAAATCTAAAAATAGGCTTCATTTCCTTTTGATTTTGTGGTGAAATGTGGCCTGTAAATGTTTGCACGAGTTTGACCAGTTCATGAATAGTATTTGAGTTCAGTGTTGACAGCGTAACACGCCATCAGCCCTAAAAAAGACTTTTGATTGACACATTCTCTAACCTCAAATGATTGACAGCTTTGTAGCATTTAAATGGAATTTAGAGGATTTCATTAAAATACTTGAGTTACCCATGAGGGTCGATCTGTGATTATGACAACAAAAGCACAACAGAGCACGGATAAACCAAAACCAAATCAAGACACACGCTTCAGCTCTGCCTGTGCTGTGTTATCATGAGGCACGTCTAATTCAACACGCAGCGTTCTGATGCACGAGTCGATGTGAAACTAATGAACCATCTCTCTCTCTCACCAGGAGATGCAGGAGAACGTGAAGAAGTGCAAGAACTTCTTGGCGACGTTGATCAAGTTGGCATCCCATAACTCCCCTTCCCCAGAGACGTCTCGAAACGTGAAAGCGCTGGTGCAGGATTTACTGGTACGTGTGGCGCCTCTGCTCCAGAAATATCTGAATTCATAAATCTACAGCGTGTAGAATGTTCATTTTGTTCTTTAAATGTCATCATGAAAGGCCTCATTTTAAATCCTGAATATTACACCGGCCTGCATCATATTTGCTGAATAAAATCCAACACTTGTTTATTACTAATTCTAGGTGCTGCTGATTCCAAAAATAGTTGCTGATTTGCTTGAGCACATCACACCTTCTCACAAAATATGATGCATTTCGTAGCATTTTTGGTTTTACAACCATTTGTTCGGAGAAGTCTTGTATTTTCTCTTAATTAGCAGAAAAACACCACAAACACATGATTCCTGTCTGAATCTGAGCCAGATTACAACTACTTGTTCAATTCTCAGCCCATTTTCACATATACGAATGCCTAATCCTTGACAGAAAATGACAGATTTTGTGAAATAAGTTTATTTATAAACTTTTCTTTGACATTAAATGGAGTATTTGAACATATTTTCCCACTCCTTTGCAGATTGCAAGTTAAGTTACACATTTGCAATATTTTTTGTCATTAAAATCGAAAGACATTCGATTGCTTTTGTTATTTTGATTTTGATGTTTTGTGCATTAAAACT